TTTAGGAGGCTAGAGGTTAAAATTCAGGGTTCCAGTTCTAGGGACTGCCAGATCTAGGGAAAGGTTCTTGTCTCCTTTCACATCTGTGGACCCAGCATTCTTTGGAATGCTCCATGTATTTTGGCCTCAATCTTCCCTTGGTATAAGATGTTCTCCATGCAGAGATCCTGAGTCTAAAGGATGCACTCCACTCCCAGCTCTGCTTATTTGATGGTAGTACATCCCTCCAATCTTGGTTCATTTTCTTCATCTCTTTTATATCACAAAAGAGATGGATTTAAAATACTACTTAAGCCTGCAAATTGTATTCTGTTGTTATTACATTACTATTGTTGGTATGAAGTGCTATGAAGTCGGTTCCAACTCATAGCGACCCTACATGGAGTTTCCGAGGAGTGGCTGGTGAGTTTGAACCACCGACCTTACAATTCAAATCGACCTTGCAGTACAATGCTTATCCTATGGTGCCACTCAGCACTCCCTTCATTAACATAACCGCCTGGAGCCCTGCTTTATTAACACTGTTATAATGCTGTTGCTGGTGCTACGTGCCCTCGAGTCAGCTTGGACTCATAGTGACCCTGTACAGAGTTTCGGAGGAGTGGCTGATGGGTTTGAACCTCTGACTTTGCAGTTGCTAATCCTATAGCACCACATCAGGACTCTTGAGACTCATGATCTGGCCAGGCTATCCAGTTATGCTCTCACATTTGCAGGACGCATACAAGCAACACTGCTCTGGACTGAAAGCACAGGGGGAGAGGGGTGAAGAAACAGCAGTCTGATGGTAGGGGTTGTCCTATCACTTCAGTAATCTTAAGAGCCTGGCCTCCCCTCTCACACAGGAAAAGAAAAATAGGAAGAAAAATTGAGGAACTCTGCAACCATGAAGCCAAAGGGAGAAGTGGGCAGAGCTGGCTGGGGCAAGACAACCTGGCTGAGGGGAGCCGGCTGGGGGTGGGGCTGAGGTAGCCCAGAAAGCAGCCAGATGACAACCACTGCATGAAAATGGACCTTCAGGCCACTACCCAGGATTCAGAATTTCCTGAGTGCTGACTCCATCCTTCCCTTAGAAAAGAGAGCCCAAGCCAGTCTGTGCTGCTGTGGAGCTGGCGTTGCTTTATAAGAAGGAAGGTGGAAGGGATGGAAGAAGAGGGAGAAGCAAAGCTACAAAGGGAAGGAGAAGGAGAAGAAAAGAGAGAGAAAGGAGAGGCAAGAAAGGGGGGAGGGAAGGACAGAAAGAAGGAAGGAGAGATATAAGGAAGGAAGGGAGCAAGAACATCTGGCCTTCTACCAAAACTGTTACAGACTTCAGGCCTGGAACAGGCTCTCCCTCAGTGAGCAGGAGCAGTAGCATATTGTCACCTGGCATTCAAGGCCTCTGGTTAAATATGGGGCCTCCCCATCCAGCCCTCTCCCACAGCCAGGCTCCCAGACCCCCGCCCCCCACACACCCCACTCATCCTGTCAAGATCCCCAGTCAATTCTCACCTTAAATCCTAGCTCCCTGTGGCTGTTTCCTGAGGACTCAGGCCCCAAATATGACCCTGTTGTTGTTGTTGCTAATTGCTGTCCAGTTGGTTCTGACTCATAGTGACCCTGCATAAGGCTTCTGAGGAGCAGCTGGTTGGCTTGAACCACTAACAATGCAGTTAGCACCCTGCTTGGTTCCATTTCAGACTCTTCTCACATTTACACACACCGAGGGCAATTCTAACCCCTTTCAGGATTTGCTTGGGTGTCTCCTGGATTAACTTATGTTCTGAGATGTCATTAGAGGCAGGTTTCAATGTCCCTGAAAATAATAAAGGATTCTTAGAAATTGCAGAAAAAACTTTCATTTTCTCTGAAATCAAGGCCCTTCAGACCCAACTCAGTCAGAAGTAGATGCAAATACAGGAAAAGGAGGTTCCAGTGACGTGAAGAAGAGCATTTTTACTGACGGCAGGTCATACGTGCATGCTATGAACTCTGGGGATGTCTGAGGGACTCTAGGCCAATGGGCCACAGATTCAGAACTGCTCTCTCCTCCACCAGGAAAAAAAGGAGAGGGAAAGGTATTCACATGGCCCAAAGCAAAGAAGCCAACACCTCAATTAAATACGTTGTTGTTGTTGTTGTTGTTGTTGTTGTTGTTATGTGCCATGGAGTCAGTTCCATCTCAGAGAGACCCTGCATAGGGTTTCTGAGACTGTAAATCTTTACGGGAGCAGAAAGCCTCATCTTTCTCCTGCTGAACAGCTGATAGTTTCGAACTGCTGACCCTGAGGTTAGCAGGCCAATTCGTAACCACTATGCTACCAGAGCTCCTTCGATTAAATAAGTACCCTCAAAGTGGAGCCTTCTTGGCAGACACTGTCACTGCTGTGAGAGAGACGCCGGGGAGATGGCAGGAAAGCAATGGTCTGACAAGACAGAGAAGAGGATCCAGGTGAAGGTTTGACAGAGACCCTCACCTGAGCTCCCTCTGAATCATGGAATGAGGGTCTGGAAAGAGACTCCTCCCACAGCCTTGGGGCTCCAGATGAGCCCACCAAGCCAAGTAGAAGTCACAGGCAAACAAATGGGTCGATAAAAGCCCACTTTGGCCCAAATCAAACAAGATGAGAGATATCAGCAAGGGCCAGGTTCATTCTGTCTTAGGCTCCCTGGAATCTGCTGGACAGCAGCTGCATTTTCTAGGACTATTGTCTCCTTGACGCATCCACTTACTCATCCCCCAAAACTTCCATGTCCTCTGAGGTCAAGGCCTTTCAGATCCAACTCAGGCACAGAAACCAGTCTAATGGGTGACTATAATCCATATAGACAGCACTACTGGGTGTAAAAATAAAGCATGGGCCATGATTCATCAGCTGTGTGACCTAGAGAAAATTACTAAACCTCTCTGTGCTTTGGGTTATATCTGTGTAAGACTAGACTAGTGACCCTTCCCTCAAAGAGTTGACAGGACAATTAAACGATGTAACCTGTTGACAGAGCCTAGCACACAGCCTCTCACATGTGAAGGAACTCAATACATGACAGCCTTTGTCCCTTCTTTTTCACCAACCCCTGCTCCCGTCTCTCTGCTCCCTTGGATAACTGTTTAGAGTGCTGGGCTCACTGGTAATGCACTGATGTTTTAGATCCCAGAGCAGCAGGAAGCCAACCATAAAACCAAAAGTAAAAAGCAAGTAACTATTACTTTGCAAGGAAAGGGCACTTGTATTTACTTCAGCGACTATAAAAGACACCATAAAATATAATATGCAGCCTGCAGCCTCATGATTAATAACAGATCTTGCAAATTATTCTCTCAGGTCCCTGGGTGCATCCAACTGGTCACTTCTTACAATTAATTCTTTCAGGAAATAAAAGGGTTGCGAATTCTCTGATCCCTGGAAAATCTGCTGCTTGTATTACCAAAACCGAGCATCAAAAACCAGGCTCATGTTCAGGGTTTTTCTGTCCCTGTGAATGGGGTAAACAAAGATCAGAGAGATTCGTGTACAATTACTGTCGGCGATCACTGGCGCTTGGTGAGAGCTATGGCCTGCCAAATCTGGAATCACAGGGGCCTGGAGACCACACAAGACACAAAAAGCAGGAGTTTGGGGGTATTTCAGAAACAGAACCAAATGATGGAGCAGGGGACAGTGTTGACAGTACACAATAAGGTGTTGTTGTTGGTAAGTACTGTGGAGTCAGTTGCAACTCACAGATTTTCTGAGGAATGGTTGGTGAGATTAAACCACCAACCTTGCAGTTCAAACCAACCTTGCAGTCCTGCAGCGTCACAGCAGGTCTCCAGACAATAAGGTAGAAGCATGGAACCCAGAGAGGTGAGGCGGAGGATTGAGAATGGAAACGTAGCTACAACGGCCAGTGTTCAGCAACAGGACCACAGTCTCCAGAAGGAGTGGGGAACCAGAAAGACTCTCCAGTCTGAAACTGCAGTTCATCAGTGAAGAACCAATGGGCTAAGTCAGGAAGCAACTAGTGGATCCAGGTAATGGGTGAGAATTGCATGAGAATCCAGGAAAAACTAGATACAAGGATTCAACTGAGCCTCTGAGTTCCTGGCTTTGGGTTTCTAACTCCACTTACCAAGGTCTTGGGTCTTGAAAGGTGAGAGAAACTTACAAGCAGGAAGTGGTCCTACTGTGGAAGGCCGGAAGGACTACAGGGACCAGAAGCCCAGCAGAAGATCACAATGACCCTCCCAGGTCCACTTTCACCTCATGGTCAGTGTGGATTCCCTCACAACCTAGAGTACACACCCTCACCAACACACTTAGGTTTGACCCGATTCCCCTGGGGCTCCCTGGGGACCTCTGAGGAGGCAGCAGACAGGGGGAACTGTCATTATAGACAAGGCCCATGAGGTACATTTTGGAGGCAGCATATAGTTGGAGTGGGGGGTCAGTGAATTAGGATGGACAAATCTTTTATTGAGTCACATTACATGACATAAAACACCCAAGGGTTCACCATGATAGCAGTAAACTCATGGCTGCAACAGTCTGCCTGGAGATGTCAAGGAGGCTCACTAAGGTGTCACACCTCAGGGGAGTGATATGGGAAGGAGAAGAAGACAGTCTCTAACAAGTTCAGAGACCATATTCACCTTCCACAAAAATCAAACTTCCTGTAAGTTCAATGTGCCCTCAATTGGACCCATGGTCCATCTTGACAATACAAAGGGCTAATGGAAGTGAGGGACATCCCACACAATGGCACATACCAGAAGTGGGAAAGTAGACTGCTGTATATAAGATTCTCCCTGTCCCTTTCTCCTGATGAAGGTGAGAAATCTACTCCATGATGCAGCTGCGGGCCCTGACACAAGGGCTGCAGTGTGGGGAGAAGAATTCTAGAGGTGGAGGATACTGATGCCACGTGGAATGGCCTGGGATCCACAATACCATAGGGCAGAAATGGCAGCTGAGTGGACAGTGAAAAGATGCCTTTCCCACCAAAGAGCTACACCAAAAGTGGACAGGGGACAGCAAGTCCACTCAGTGTGAAGCAGGAAACAACCAGAAAAACAGGGCCAAGAGCCAGTTGGCCAGCTTCAACCCCTTCACACTCAGAATGAATTCATGAAGGTCAATCTGCCATAAGTTGAAGGCTTCTCTGAAAGAGATCTGAGTCCTTCTGAAGAATGAGTAGGTCTTCTTCTTCTTGTGCCTGGAAGAGGGAAAAGAAGGAAGGTGAAAGTTAGTAGTGGAGAGGAGCATGGAAGATGGCAGCTCTGCCTGACTGACCAGCTCCCCCACCCTGCCCCTGTGGACTGCTTCATGGTCATGTGGTCGGTCATCCCACTGCTCAGTCAGAGCCCAAAGGAACTCAAATACTACAAAGAATTTTTTCAAATAAGGGGGGCAAGCAAGCACAATTGTTTAACAGGGGTTTAATAACTGAATGGACCCACTGAAAAGAACATTCCAACGTTTCTCGTTTTCTAAAAGTACAGTTAACATACGTTATGCCAAACTTTCTAAGGGTGAGAATCAACTGGACACCTGGTCAAGTGGTCCTGAGGGGCAGAGGTCATTGTGGAATTCAGCCCAGCTCAATCCTTTCTACATCAACAAAACAATGTGATGCAAATTGGTGGTTCTGGTGATGACCTATTGAAGACTTCATCTCCCAAACCTACCCTCAGAGGAAGACATTTGATAGTGGATGCTTGGTTGTTGTTGTTAGGTGCCATCGAGTTGGTACTGACTCATAGCGACCTTATGCACAGCAGAACGAAACACTGCCTGATCCTGGGCCAACCTCACTACTGTTGCCACGCTTGAGTCCATCAACGCTGCCCATTGGCTTATCCATCTCATGGGGGTCTTGCTCGTTTTCGCTGACACGCCACCTTACCAAACATGATATCCTTCTTCAGGGACTGGTCCCTCCTGACAATATGTCTGAAGTATGAGAGACGAAATTTGGCCATCCTGGCCTCCAAGGAGCACTCTAGCTGCACTTCTTCTAAAACAGATGTATTGGTTCTTTTGGCAGCCCGTGGTACTTTCAATAGTCTCCTCCAACACCATAACTCAAAAGCATCAATTTTTCTACGGTCTTCCTTATTCACTGTACAGCTTTCACAGGCATATGAGGTTATTGAAAATACCATGGCTTGGGTCAGGCGCACCTTAGTCCTCAAGCTGACATCTTTGCTCTTCAACACTTTAAAAAGGTCTTGTGCAGCAGATTTGCCTAATGCAATATGTCATTTGATTTCTTGACTGCTGCTTCCGTGAGTGTTGATAGTTGATGCAAGAAGAATAAAGCCTCGACAACTTCAATTTTTTCTCCATTGATAAGAATGTTGTTTATTGGTCCAGTGGTGAGGAATTTTGTTTTCTTTATATTGAGATGTAATCCATACGGAAGGTATGTGCTCTTTGATCTTCATCAGTAAATGTTTTAAGTCCTCTTTGCTTTCAGCAAGCAAGGTTGTATCATCTGCATATCGCAGGTAGTTAATGAGTCTTCCTCGAATCCTGATGCCATGTTTTTCTTCATATAACCCAGCTTCTCGGATTATTCGCTCAGCATACAGGTTAAATAAGTATGGTGAAAGAATACAACCTTTCTTAACTTTAAACCATTCAGTTGCACACCTTTCTTAACTTTAAACCATTCAGTGTTCCCATGTTTTGTCTGAACAACTGCCTCTTTGTCCATGTACAGATTCCTCCTGAGCACAATTAAGTGTTCAGAATCATACTTTGCATTGTTGTCCATAGCTTGTCATGATCCACACAATCGAAGGCCTTTGCGTAGTCAATAAAGTCAGTAATTTTCTGATATTCTCTGCTTTCAGCCAAGATCCATCAGACATCAGCAATGATATTCCTTGTTCCACAGCCTCTTCTTGAACCTCTGGAAGTTCTCTGTCAATGTATGCTTGCAGCCATTTTACCTTTAGTAAAACTTTACTCACATAGTATATCAAAGAGATTGTCCGATGATTTCCAAATTCCATTGGGTCACCTCTCTTTGGAATGGGCACAAATATGGATCTCTTCCAATCAGTCAGCCAGATAGTTGTCTTCCAAATTTCTTGGCAGAGATGAGTGAGTGCCACCTCACTTTCTTGAAAGATTTCAATTTTTATTCCATCAATTCCTGGTGCCTTGTTCTTTGCCAATTCCTTCAATGCACCTTGGACTTCCTCCTTCAGTATCATTGGCTCTTGATCACATGCTACCTCTTAAAACAGTTGAACATGAACCATTTCCTTTTGGTACAGTGACTCTGTATATTCCCTCCATTTTCTCTTGATGCTTTCTGCATCATTCAATAATTTGCCCAGAGAATCTTTCAATAACGAAAGTCGAGGCTTGAATTTTTTCTTCAGTTCCCCCAGCTTGAGAAATCCTGAGTGTGTTCTTACTTTTTGGTTTTCTGATTCCAGATCTTTGCACATTTTGTTGTAATATTTGGCTTTATCTTCTCGAGCTGATTTTGAAATTTTCTATTCAGCTCTTGGACCTCCTCATTTCTTCCATTTGCTTTAGCATCTCTATGCTGGAAAGCAAGCTTCAGTGTTTCCTCTGACATCCATTTTGACCTTTTCCTTCTTTCTTGTCTTCTTAAAGACTTTTTGCTTTCTTCCTGTATGATGTTCTTGATGTCATCCCACAACTCTTCTGATCTTCGGTCTCTAGTGTTAATGTATCAAATCTGTTATTCAGATGATCCCTAAATTCAGGTTGGATATATTCAAGGTCATATTTTGGCTCTCATAGACTTGTTTTCATTTTCTTCAACTTCAGTTTGAATTTGCATATAAGTAATTGATGGTTTGTTCCACAGTCTGCCTCCGGCCTTGTTTTGACTGATAATATGGAGCTTTTCCATCGTCTCTTTCCGCAGATGTAGTCAATTTGATTTCTATGTATTCCAGCTGGTGAGGTCCATGTGTATAGTCGCCTTTTATGCTGTCTAAAGAAGATATTTGAAATGAACAAATCATTGGTTTTGCAGAATTCTATCATGTGTTCTCCAGCATCATTACTATCACCAAGGCCATATTTTCCAACTACTGATCCTTCTTTTTTGCTCCCAACCTTTGCATTCCAATCACCAGTAATGATCAATACATCTTGATTGCAAGTTTGATCAATTTCAGATTGAGGAGGTTGGTAGAATTCTTCTATTTCATCTTCACGTGCTTTAGTGTGTGGTGCATAAATTTGAATAATAGTGGTATTAACTTGGCTTCCCTGTAGGCGCATGGATATTATCCTATCACAGATAGTGTTGTACCTCATGACTGATCTGGATATGTTCTATTTGACAATGAATGCAACACCATTCCTCTTCAATTTGTCATTTCTGGCATAGTAAACCATGTGGTCATTAGATTCAAAATGGCCAATACCATTCCATTTCAGCCCACTAATGCCTAAGATATCGATGTTAATGTGTTCCATTTCATTTTTGACAACTTCCAATTTTTGCAGATTCATAGTTTGTGCATTCCATGTTCCGATTTTCAGTGGATGTTTACAGCTGTTTCTCTTCATTTTGAGTTGTGCCCCATCAGCAAATGAAGGTCCCACAGGTTTTTCTCCCGTGGGCTTTACTCCATTCGTGTTATCACAGTCAACTCTACTTTGAGGAGGCAGCTCTTCCCCAGTCGCATTTTGAGTGCCTTGCAACCTGAGGGGCTCATTTTCTGGGACTATATCTAACAGCGTTTCTCTGCTATCCATAAGGTTTTCAGTGACTAAATATTCGGAAGTAGTTCATCACTCTTTCTTCCTAGTCTGTCTTCGTCTGGAAGCTCATCTGAAACCTGTCCACCATGTGTGAACCTGCTGGTATTTAAAATACCAGTGGCATAGCTTCCAGAATCACAGCAACCCACAAGCCACTACAGTATGACAAACTGACAGATGAGTGGTGGGGATACTATGTAGGCATGGTCAAGTCTCCCTGCACTGAATAGTTCCACAGAAGGACCCATTCCCTGCCTAGTATGATGGACTGGCAGTTGACAACAGTCTAGGCTTCCTCCTTTGGGTAACAATGTCCAGAGTGAAGATGGTCCTGTCTGTGTACTCACCACACTCAGGTTGAATGACCTCCCTGAGAATCAACTTCCCTTCCTCACCAACACCCCAGGGTTATCCAGGCATCTTAAGAGACCTGATAGGAAGACGTCTGCTCCATCCAAGCTCCTCCTCTTACAGGCCTTCCCTGCTGCCAGCACTTTCCCTCACAAGTCACAGCTACACTTACAGGGCAAAGAACACAGACCTAGCTGCTGGCTAGTCTCTAGGAAGGCTGAGGAGCCCAATCAGTTAGAGATGGGGTACACATCAGGGATTCTTGACCCCGAGTCCAGGGGCACTTGGGTGGGGTTAAAACTATCCAAAAACACTTCAAACTTCCCTGAGGGTACGAATCACCAGGAAAGCTGGACAGTTGGGCTGGCAGCCTGAGTGAGATCCTGGAATCTGTCATTTTCCACAAATGTAAGTTGTTCTCCAACTCCCAACCAAACTGCCCCGAGGCACCGGCGAGTTCACTGGAGTTGTTCTCTGCCGCCACTTTTCCTTCAGGGATTGCTCAGACAGGGCCCTGTGGGCTGGTGAGGAAGCATGGAGGTAGTGGACCTCTGCGGCAGGCTGGGAGCAGAGCAGGAGAGAGACAGAGGATCCCCTACTCACGTGGCCAGTGCCCTGATGCAGCAGCGCGACATGTTAAGGAAGGAACTGGCATCAGCACGGGTGCCCAGGGCAGCCTCAATGCCACGCAGCAGGTCGTTGGTCTTGAAGATCAGCAGCATCTGGCGTGGCACGTGGTTGAGGAGCTGACTGATCTGGGGAAGGTAGTTGGCAGCATTGTCCCGGATTTCTGACTCCTGGAGCAGCAGTGGGGAGATGGGAATGAATAGTTGAGATGGGATGGAGGCTGCTAGCATAGTTGCCTCAGCACCATTAAGAACACTCCCCAAAGGGAAGGATTTCTTCTTTGAACTTGGTTTAAAGTTCAGGGGCTCTGTAGCCTGGCGAGCTTGTGCGTGGGCTAGAAGCACATAAAGAGGGAACAGGTTCCATTTCTACTGCAGCTGCCGTCTCTGGCTCCTCAAAGCCACAATCAACAATTCTGACTCACGGTGACCCATATGTACAGAGTAGAAGTGTGCTCCCTAAGGTTGTCAAGGCTGTGACCTGTCTTCTGAGGTGCCTCTCGATGGGCCTGAACCATTAACTCTTTGGCTAGTAGTTGAGCAATTAACCATCTGTGCCACCCAGGGAGGTCTAAGGTCAACAGTACCTATCCCCAAAGCTCCTAAAGCCTGTACTTCTGAAACAGGAATTTGCCTTCTCCCATAAACCTTCCACCCCACTTCCAGCGGATGCTAGCTTCCCTGTCCAAGGATCTATCCCCCAAACTTCCTCACTGGCTATCCATTTCAGCTAGGCCTCCAAAGAGCCCTGGAAGCTGGTACTGGCTGAGTCATGGACCCTGCCTCTGCTGCCAAGTGCAAAGCCCTGCCCCATGCCCTGCCGCACCAAGCCTACCCAGTGCCTGCAGCCCACACTGCCTGGAGCCAGTCTCACCTGTCCCAACACCTGGGGTCCTGATGCCCCCAAACACACCAGTATGAGCCCTCACCACTGGCCATTCCCACAGCCCCTGCATAGGTTTGAGGCCTGCATTCTGCTCCTGCCCTGTCCCTGAGCTCTGAGTGGCTCTGGACAGGTTACTGCCTCCAGCCAGAATCCTGAGCATGACAGGGTACCTCTGATCCCTTCTCCCAGAACAACAGTGATGACAATAAAGATGGTGGCAGCTAACATGCATGGAGCACTAACTACATAAACCAAGCACTTTGGAAACGCTGATATATATCAGCTCATTTATCCCCTGCAATCCTATGAGGTAAGTGCATTGTTCCCATTTTAAAATGACGAAACTGAGAAGGTAAGTACCCTCCCTGCCCACTCCCTCTCAGTCATAAGCTGTAATTGGTGAGTCGAGACTTAAACCGAGGCAGTGCAGTTTCCTACTCTCCACCCCACACAGCAGGCCTGTGTGACTCTGAAGAAATCCTTAAAGCTTTTGCCATTCAGTGTCCTCACTAAAAAACTGGAAATGGCCATACCCTATGTGCTGACCTCCCAGCAGTACTGAGAGAGACAGGACAGACAAGGGAAAGTGCTCTGAGTCCATCAAAGGCCCTCCAAACCCACTGCTGTTGAGTGGACTTTCACTCACAGTGTCCCTACAGGACAGAGCAGACTGCCCCATGGGGTTTCCAACTCCGTCATCTTTATGAAAGCAGACTGTCACAGCTTTCTCCTGTAGAGCAGCTGGTAGGTTTGAACCACCAACCTTTTGGTTAGCACTTGAGCGATTAATCACTTGCCACCAGGCCTCCTCATGGAAGGACCCCAGAGCTGCCAAAAGGCATTACCATTCCATCTACCTTTCGGCAGCAGACACAGAACTCTCAGCCCTTTCCGGAGCAGTGTGTGTGGCTGATAACCAACCAAGGGCTGAGATACTTGACATGTCCCCCAGGCAGGAGCTAGCAGACTGGAATATCACCACAGGAAGCCAGACACCAAAAGCCCATCAGCATCCTGGCTGCAAGGTCACCCTGCTTGGAGGGCTAACGATAGACCAGGGCCCAACTCATCCTAAGGGACCCACCACTCAGCAATGACAGCCCCTCTCCGCCCAAACAGAAAGGGCTCTCAGAGCAGCAAAGCCTTCAAGCCTAGACAGATCCTAGGTGGGTGTCTGAGTTAGACTCTGCTGGTGTCTACCGCACAGCCATTCTGTTGCTGCTTTGTCAAAAAAAAAAACAAAAAAAAAAACCCTAGTCTGGGGCCATGTTCTTCACATAGATTGACTCCCTCCCAGTCTTAGGGAGTGGGGAGACGGGGTCGGGAGGGTATCTTGATCCTGCTCAGTCAGTGCTGACCACAGAGCTCTCATTTTCCTTGCCAAGTGATTGGTTGAGGCATGGACATGTGACATGATTCTGGCCAATTAAATATGCGCAGTCTGTTGAGGGAGTTCTGAGAAAAGTTTTCTTGCCCTTAAGAAATGGTGCATGAGAAGGAATACACCTTCTTCTGTTCCTGTCTCTGGATGCCATTGAACAAGGACAGTAAAGCTTGGATCAGCTACGGGCATCCTGAAATCATGAGAGGAAAACCAAGGAGATCACAGAGGAATAACTCCAGAGCCGTGAGTTTATTAATATTCTGAATTAACCAATGTGGAATCACCTATCTCCAGGCTACTTATTATGGAACAAATGATCATTTCAGAATGAGAAAGCCGCTTTGAGTCTTTTGTTGCTGTTACAAGCAGCCCAAACATTCTCCTTATAACAGTGATGGTTGTTGGTTGGTTCAGTGCCACTGAGTTGGTTCTAACTAATAGTGACCCTGTATAGGGTTTCCAAAGAGTAACTGGTGGATTTGAACTACTGACCTTGCATTCAAACCAACCTTGTAGTCCCGTGCTTATCCTGGCACCCCAGCACGATGTGAATACAAACAACAACTCTGCAAAGGGATATATGGAGACTGGGTGTAGCACTGCAACAGGTCTTTGTAAAGTTGTTGTTTGTATTCAAATCTTAACTGGAACACAAGTTTGGTTTGAACAGCAAGGTTGGCAGTTCAAACCCACCAGCTGCTCTTCAGAACCCTATACAGGGCTGCTATGAGTAGGAACTCACTCAACTGGACTTATCAACAATAAAAAGGGTACATAAGGAAGGTGCCACGTCCCCTTTAACTGGGGTGATATGTAGACATGTCTTCGAGAAGAGAAGACTTCTTCAAAGAGCTAGAATTTAAGCTGAGTCTTGAATTCAAACAGACAATTCTAACTTAATTAATAAAACCAGATACAGAGACCGCAATGTTCTATGTGGAGTCCTGGTGTAGTGCTGCAGGATAATGTGCTGGATCCCAAGGTCAGTTTTTGCTGCAAGGTTGGTGATTCAAACCTACCAGCCGCTCCTCAGAAACTATATAAGTGGTCACTGTGAGTTAGAAATGACTCGACGGCACTTAACAACATGTTACATGTGATCTCATCCTTCCCTGTTGCTTTAAATACCCATCTGTCTGCTGAAGACTCCCAAATTTGTATGTTGAGGCCCCACCCCTTCTCTGAGTTTCTGACTCAAGTGCCCTTGACGCGTCTATAGAAATGTCTCAAAACAACTGCTGACTGCCTTCACCCCAAATACAGCCTTCCCCAGACCTCTCCCCTATTTCAGCAAGTGGTGCTCCCCCTACCCTATAACTCATCTCCAAATCCTGTGGTGAAACTTGGAATCTTCTCTTATTCACCTCTCCAAAACAGAAAACACAATAAACCCATTGATTCCAACTCATAGCAACCTCACAGAGTTGAACTGTTCTACAGGGCTTCCAAGGCTGTAATCTTTACAGAAGCAGACTGCGACATCTTTCTCCTTCAGGGTGGCTGGAGAATTCAAATCACTGGCCTTTCCGGTTAGCAGCCAAGTACTTAATCCCACAGAAAGTTCTCTCACTTCTATCTCCCCAATACAACCTGGCTCCATCTGCTTCTCTCCATCCCTGCTGCTCTCAGAGCAGTCAGAACCCTGTCATTACTTGGCCTGGGTTCTGCCCCAGTCTCTAGCCTCCTAACTCTTCATGCCCTTGCTCTCCGTGTCTAAGACAGACATGTCAGTTTCCTGCTTAAAGGCTGCCAGAAGCTCTGCTTTATCCTGAGAATTGATCTGAACTTCTTCCCAAGGCTTATAAGGCCCAATGTGATGTTCTCCCTTCCCCTAAACAAAAACAAAACCAATATCCACTACCATTGAATTGCTTCGTCTCACAGAGACCCTATAGGACGGAGTAGAACTGTCTCATAGGGTGCCCCAGGCTGTAAATCTCTATGGAAGCAGACTGCCATAGCTTTACCCCATGGGGCTGCAGGTAAATACGAACCACTTTAACCACTGCACCACAAGGGCTCCTCTCCCTGCTCAGTGCTCCAAATTTCTCTCATCCCACCATCACATCACACTGCAGAACCTTCAAAAGAACAGATTTAGCTTCTTCCCGCCAGACCCTTCCTCCTGTCTGGTATGCTTTCTCCAAGCTCTTCCCTTGACTGGACACTTCCTTGTTGGGAGGACAAATGATGACATGACCCATCCAGGACCGGTAAGAAGCCTCCAGGGCTGAAGGTGACCACAGGCCTGGTAAACACTCCCGTTCCTGGAAACAGGGGGAGGTCACGAAACCAAGGGGGCTTCCAAAAGTTTCTGGGAAAATGCCATTATATATTGTTTCATTCCATTTTCCCATGAACACTCTGAAGCCTCCTGTGTGTAACACTCTTGAAGCAAGAAACATAACTTCCTTGAAGGAATGACACTATTTGGACATTTGGGACTCTCTGGAGATCTACCCATACTTCTGTCTCCCAGGATCTCACCTCATATGTAAGTTTTCCCCATAATAAATCTTAGCCTGCTTTTTCAACTTGGAGTGGTCTGCCTCTTTCTTCAGTCTGTTGCCTACCTTTTGCATATGACAACCACTTTGGGATTATATCCCCCAGGGAACCGCCTGCATCAACACTTGTCCTTTGAGCATCAACTTAGCTGGCACTTTCCTATCGAGGTTTTCTCTGAGCACAGAAGCTACAGCACTGTCATTACTCAGGTCCTGCACCCTGCTTCATGGCACCGACCTATCCGTTCACTTGTTTACTGCCCGTCTCCCTCAACCAGGGGGTAAATTACATGAAGGCTTGTCTGTCTGTTCATTACTGGATCCTTAGCACCTAACACAGTGCCTGGTAGTATAGATGTCTATTGAATAAATGAACTTCAGAAACTACAGGTAGGCACTTTGCATATATTATCAGTAAAGCAGAAATTATTGCCCATTAACATCGTTATTTTATAAAGGAGAGAGACTGTCTCTTCTTCTGAGATGATACACTTTTAGGCTGTATTAAGTCTGGGGCTGGATGGAGCTCCTGGGTGGTGCTACTAACCAAAAAGTACCTCAGAAGAAAAGCTTGGTGCTCTACTTCCAAAAAAACTGGCCATTGAAAACCCTGTGGAGCATAATTCTACTCTACCACACATGTGGTTGTCATGAGTTGAAATTGACTGGACAGCAATCTGGTGCCACCAAGCTTGCTGGAGATTGGTGCTAACTTGGAAGAAAACAGAGCCAAGAGATGGCAAGACATGGCCTCTTGATGACATTGTTTAGCGACTCTGCATCCAGCCATTCCTAAAGACACCTATACAAAGCAACGTACAAATGAGGACTATGAGGCTCAAAGAGGTGAAAGGAACTGGCCAAGGTGGTACCACCAGGAAAAGGAGGTGCTGGGACTAGGACCCAGGTCTCTCAGACTGCGTGAGCAGAACCCTACCCTTATGGTGAGCAGAGGCCTCAATGGGAGCCAGAGTCCAGCCACCACATGGATTCAGACAGGTCGGGATGGCCTGGCAACTGACAGAATGGGAAGAGAGACATCAACTCCATGAGCACTGAAAGGCCTCCTGGGAGGAAGCTCACGTTGAGCAGGAAGAACGAGCTTGCCCCAGTAAACCTCTCTTGTGGGAACAGGTGACAGTAAGCATAGGGAGGAGATGTTCCTAGCATGTCTCCATGGGACATTGTCTAGGTCCAATGGAGAAATGAGCTGCAAATAGAAATCCCCCCAAAAAAACTGTTTCACTGAGCACTCTGCAGGACAATGGGACAAGCATTGCTGCTTGGGGAGCTCGGAAGGCATATGCTGAGTGACAGTGCACAGCAGTGGTGCCAGATGCATTCACGCACACACACGGGACAGTCCCTGGGAGAATGTGGCAGGAGCCTGCAATGCTGTATGAGCAGGCGGGGCTACAGCCACTGGTCTGGGTTACTATAGTCAACAGGGCTTGTAGTATGCCCATGCAGGTGAAGCCTGGCAAGCCTTCCATGCAGAACAACTGCTTTTCCTCCTCCCTTGTCTTCTCATCTAACACCCATCTAATTCGACATGCAAGTGCATGGACACACCCACACACCCCTGGTTGGAAGGGGTCCAAAGGCCACCCCTGGCCCTGGCCCTTGTATTAGGGAAAACACAGGGCCAGGAGTGGGCACCTACCTCAGCGGCAGTCACTGGAGCCTGGCCAATGCCCCTGTTGACCGAGTTCCATGAGCGGGCCGTCAGCATGCAGGCAAACAAGGGGTAGAGCTGGCCGGCTCCCAGGCGCTGGCTGTACTTCTTTACCCTCTTCATGTCTGTCCAGATCAGAGACTGCCAGAGGCGGCAGTAATCCAGGCGGAACTCTTCTGTGAGCACCTAGAGTGGAGGCAGCAAATGTAGGACCTGAGCCTCCCACCCCAGAAAGGTCCTCACTCCACACGCCCCAAGCCTCCAGCTGCAGCTGACCCCAGCAAAGAGGGACGATAAGGACCCCGGTGCCTGCATGGTGTCTGCTTCTCTCTACAAGTCCAGCCTAGCCTGCAGGGCCCAGGTCAAATCTCCAAACTGGTGGACTCAGGCCACAATCCACACTCTCAGGGTCTCTGCAGAGACTGAGCGCTGGCTGGTGGAAGGTGGCGGAGCTGCACTCCTAGACCCTGTCCACAATGACCTTCCCAAGCATGGCTCTGACCCATGCTGCCAATGGACAGCACAGAAACCCCCAGGAGGCCTGGGAAGCACAGCCCCACTGAGCCCGGAGCCCCCTCTAGAGGAGGGCTACCTGCAGATCCTTCATTGCCTAAGACTGGTAACAAGCAAGACATTGAACTTCTATTGTGTTTGGGGCATTTGGGGTTATGAGACAACAGCTAGCTAAGCCGGAACTAACACGGCCTTCTTCACTGTCTTTCAGGAAGGCCAAGATTTCAGGATTTGAGCTTAGGGTTCTGATGTCAGGAGAACAGGGAAATCGCCCCACAATGACTCACCTCATGAAATCAAGTCAGACCCAGGGCCCCTGAAATTGGCAAGGAACACACCATTTATTTCCATGTAGGAGTGCATGGCTTATTCAAACTAGTTCTGCATCCCAAGTTCCAGAGGTCAGAGTCTGGGGCCATCTTGTCCCCATCAGGTACCTGCTGCCTCATCCAGCATCTTGTCATATCCTCACTGGGGTGGAACACACAGCTCTCACCTCCCTCTGAAACCCAGGCTCACGTTGGGGCAGTTCCCAGGGGTCCCTGGGAAGAAGGCCCGTTTTCTACAGCTTACCAAACACTTTCATCTATCTTCCAGCAAATCCTCACAATGACGGTGAAATAAAAGGCAAGCCTCACTTTACTGAGGAAGCTGAGCCCTTGTCTGTGATGTGCTCACAGTGACCCCGCTCCTAGGGTGGGGCAGGGCACCCTCTGGCTCTCATCTCTCAGCCTCCATTTCTATGGCAGATCTGGAAAGTTAGCAGGCTCCTACCTGGTACAGTCCATGATCCAGCAGAATAATCTCAGCCTGCCCCGTGCCCGGGTGCTTACGCACCAGCACGTTGCCTGGGTGGGGATCACAGTGCACGAAGCCGTTGACAAAGATCATCTCACTGTACATCTTTCCCAGCTGGCGTGAGACCTGCAAGGCAAGGGTAGGTGAGAGTGCCACTCCGTGTACACTTGTCCCAGACCCAATGGTCATTATGCTGGTCCCTTGATCCGGTCACTTTCAGGAAGAACGGAAGGAGCGGCATGCCTGAGCCGCCATGGTGCATGTCATGGTTTATGAGAGAAGCTAAGTTCTAACCGAATGCTTCTCAACTTTAGCTATAAATTGAGTTACCAGGAACTCAGAAATGTTGGGGATGGTAGCCAGGCATCGGTATAAAGTTTACAACGTGATTTAATGTCCAGTAAGACAAGGGGGGGGGGGGGTGCGGAGTCCTGGTGTGGCGCTGAGGGTTAATGCGCTGGACTGCAAGATGGGTTTGAACCACAAGATTGGTGATTCAAGCTCACCAGCCGCTCTTCAGAAGCCCTATATAGGGTTGCTAAGAGTCAGAACAGACTCGGCAGCACTTAACAACAAGACGTGTGGCAGGACTCCTGAAATGGTGCTGTAGAATGAGCACTGGACTTTGAATCACAAGGTTGGCAGTTCAAATCCACAAACTGCTCCTCGGAAACCCTATACAGGGCTGCTATGAGTCAGAACAGACTCCAGGGCACTTCACAACAAGAAGGCATGAGGTAGTAGTGATTCAGCGGTTGGCTCCTCCCGTTCCGTGAGGGAGACCCAGGTTCCGTCCAGGGCCAGTGTTCCTGGCGCGCAGCCACCAGCCGTGTGTCTGGAGGTTTGTGTGTGTGCTGTGATGCTAAACAGGCTTCCCTGGAGCTTGCGGATTCAGACAGACTAGGTTGAAAGTTCTGACCATCTACTTCTGAAAGTCAGCCAATGAGAACCGCATGCAGCACAACCGGACACCACCTGATGCCATTAGACGCTGCGGGATGTGGCGGCACTTTGCTGTGTGGTGCGTGGGCTGGCAGAAACAACAACAGAGTGGTCTTTCCGATGGCTCTAACGTCATGCCTCTTCAACCTGCCCCTCCATTCTTACCCCCATTGTCTCTCTTCTTGGTTCTCTTACGGCTCTTTCTGCATTTCTACCCTGAAACTGTCAAAGGACTGAAAAGGTGGGTTGGAAAAGTCATTCCACCCACCTTGTCTCCAAAGAATAGGTCTGGGGGCTGAGTATCAGGAATGGGTGATACCCCGGACTCACTGTGTGGCGCTACCCCAGGCCTTCCCTCCTCTCCCTCCAGGCCTCTCTTCTTGTTCCCCCACCCCCACCCCCGAGCCCAACGTTCATCTGATTTATGATGTCTGCACAGAAGAAATGACACTGGAGAGGCCGCTTAAATCATCCTGTCACTGCAGCGCTCCCCGCCACGGCAGTCTGCTTATCTCCATTCCCTTTTTATTAAAGCTAAAAGCCTCTTCCCAGCAAGGGAACAGCTGCTGAGTAAAGCTAGCCCTGGTCCAGAGATGCTCTGTCAGTGAGTCTCCACCGGACAAAGAGGCTCGATCCAAAAAGATGATGCCCAGGATGCACGCTCGTTTGACACTCCTCTCCATCTCCACTGGACTCCAAGGTCACCAACAAATATATCCCAGCCAAAGGAGAGAGGCCGGGGCCCAGGTGCTGGGCAGACAAAATTAGGGTTTTAAGATAAAGACGCAGCTCCTGTCTTCGGTCTACCCTACACTGCTTCCCTTCCAGTCTCATCTCACACCACACTGACATGATAGCCACACTCTCTCTCTGCTTCTCCAATGATCCCTGTACCTTCCTACCTCAGGGCCTTTGCATGTGCTATTTCTCCTTTCAGGAGTTCCACCTGGTTCAACCCATGGTTCCTGCAGCTACAAGCTTTGTTTCCTATCCCAAATAAAATGGGACCCTCCTGTCATACACTTTAATAGGTTGCTGTCCCTATCTTTTTTAGCACTAGCACACGATTTAAGGGGTCCTGGTGTGGCACTGTGTGTTAACTCACCAGACTGCAAAACCATTTAAACTGCAAGGTCGGTAGTTCAAGCTTACCAGCTGCTCCTTGGAAACCCTACACAGGGTCGCTATGCATCAGAATCAACTCTACAGCACTTAACAACAACAACAAGTACACTATTTGTGTATTTGAATAATGACCATCTAACGCATTCTCATAAACTCCCAAGATGCCAGGGACTGGCTGTTTTGTTAAATAGCTTTGTTGAGGTATAACTTGCATACCATCCATGCTCTTTTGCTGACCACTGAAGCTCAGCTGCTGCTATGGAGTCCAGCATTTACTAAGCAGTCCATCCTTAATAGACAGGTAAATAATGTGGATAGATGCTTCCAAAATCCTAAAGTAGAATGCAAGTCTGAAAATGCTTTGTCCGGGTCTTCCTGCCACAGGCTGGTGGATGGTGGGCTCAAGGATGGGAACTGTGAGACTGGCCAGCCATGCTCTCTGATTCCCTCTCTCCCTCTTTCAAACATGAACTCAGTCTCGAGCAGATGACACCAGCCTCCTCCACCTATCACTTACTTGATGACGGCAGCTAGTTCTGAATGCATTGCCTCTCTTCACCTTTACAATAGCCTTCTGAGGTAAAAAGACCATCACTACCCCCATTAGAGAGAGAGAAACTGAAGCTCAGAATATGCAATGACTTGCCCAAGGTCACAACAGTGACTCAGCCTTGGAGCTAGCTCCAAGCTCAGGTCTCACTCAAGCCAATGCACTGAAACGACCACTCTCTATCCCAAAATTCTGATTCCACCTCCCTGGGGAAAGGACCAGTGAGAAGTGACACTCAGGAGTCCTGGATTCAGGCCACAATCACAAATGTACAAGCATTTTGGTTATCCTTCAGGGCTTCACTCAGGGCTCACTGCCTTCAGGAAGGTCTCCCTTGGATCCCCACCCACCCGTACAGATTTTCCCTTCTCCAATCTGCTATGGGATGTGTTTCAGCTCTCAGGCAATTCAGTACTCTCTTATTACACAAAGCCCCACTCCCCCACCCCCCAAAATAGCCAAACCCACTGCCATGAAGTCTATCTCAACTCAGAGCAACCATATTTAGGGCTTCTGCAACTGTAAATCTTTACCAGAGCAGACTGCCTCATCCTCACTTTCTTCCCCACAGAGCAGCTGGTGAGTTCGAACTGCCGATCTTGCAGCTAGCAGCTCAATGCCTAGCCCACAACGCCACCACTGTTCCTTCTCATTTATTAATAAAGAGTCTCATTTATTAATTATCTCAAACAAGTATGCTTCAAGACAAGAAAAATCTCCTATAGGACAAAGCCGCCTTCTCCCACATACATGTAGGCACATGCTGGACATGTCGTGAGTACTCAGCAAATACTGACAGGTGAACCGACGTGACATTTCCCTGGGTGTAGGAGACCCAGGAAGATGGTTTCATTCATTATGGTCTCAGTTTCACATCCAAACCACGCCCCTTTGCAATTCTCATTCTCTCTTCCTCATGACAGCAGAGAGTCTCACTTTGGGACTAATACATCGCTAACATCTCTATCAACTCGCTAATCCCCCTTTTTAAAGGCGAGAGGGTGTCAGGTTCAGCGCCTTTGGTAGGCAAGGGGATAAAGCTAGAATTTAGGTATTTTGTTTTGTTTTCACTGAATTTATCTTTAATTTCTATTTTGTGGTTAGTGATACAGGTTTTCCAATGGAGATATCATCTTTCCTTTTAAAATAATTTCATTTAAGTCATTTAAGAGGGGAGAGGGTTGATTACAAAAGCACTTCACGATTCCTAATACAGGAATATGTGGATGGGAGGAGCCCACAGGTGACACAAGTAGATAAGTGCTCAGTTGTTAGCATAAAGGTTGGCAGTTCAAACAGAGAGGCGCCTCAGGAACCAGGTCAAGAGATCTGCTTCCAAAAGGCTACAGCCTTGAGAATCCAGCCGAGCAGTTATACTGTGTACATGTAGGGTCACCGGGAGTCAGAATTGACTTAGTGACAACTAACAACAACAACAACATGGTATTTTCAATAACCTCATAAGCATGTGAAAGTTGGACAATGAATAAGGAAGACTGTAGAAGAACTGATGTATTTGAGCTATGGTGTTAGAGGAGAAGATTAAAAGTGCCATGGACGGCCAAAAGAACCAACAAATCTGTGTTGAAAGAAGTACAGCCAGAGTGCTCCTTAGAAGCCAGGATGGCCAGACTTTATCTTTTATACTTCGGACATACATAGGCAGGACCAGTCCCTGGAGAAGAACATCATGCTTGGTAAAGTGGGTGGTCGATGAAGAAGAGGAAGACCTCTAATGAGATGGACTGACACAGTGGCAGCAGGACCAGGCAGTGTTTTGTTGTGTTGTGCATCAGGCCGCTATGAGTCAGGACTGACTAGAAGGCACCTACCAACAACAACAAACAATAACAACATGTGGATGGGACAAAAAAGTCAAGAGTGATGGAAACTAGGAAATATCAAATTAGTACCGTCCCCAGAAGAGATTTTCAGGTGCGTTCCGAACAAATACGGGGCTGGCGTTTGAGTAGTGCTAAGGAGTCTGGCACTGGTCAGGCACACAGGGCTTTTACCATGGTCTAACTCAGTGTGGACAGTGAATAAGGAAGATCGCAGAAGAATTGATGCCTTTGAGTTGTGGTGTTGGAGGAGAATATTGAAAGTGCCATGGACTGCCAAAAGAACCAATAGATCTGTTTTGGAAGAAGTGCAGCCAGAGTGCCCCTTGGAAGCCAGGATGGCTAAGCTTCGTCTCTCATACTTTGGACATATTGTCCGGAGGAAACAATCGTTGGAGAAGGATGTCATGCTGGGTAAGGTGGAGGGTCAGAGAAAAAGAGGAAGACCTCTAACGAGATGGATTGGCCAGGTGGCATCATTGATGGACTCAAGTGTGGCAGCGGTAGTGAGGTTGGCCCAGGATCGGACATTGTTTCGTTCTGCTGTGCATGGGGCTGCTATGAGTCAGTTCCGACTTGATGGCACCTGACAACTCAGTGTGAGGGAGTCCTGGTGTGGTGCTGTGGGTTAATGTGCCAGACTGCAAAGTCATTTGAACTGCAAGGTC